CTTACAATAGCTAATTATGCTCTGGGTGCACCTTCTATGGCTTTTGTTTACTAAAGTCCTAATAACATTCACATTCCTCCAAAAGGCAATATTCCCATGTTCTACCCAGCAAAAATAAACAATTCTTGTATATCATCTGTTGATCTGTCTTGCCTGTTTCCTGCTGTTATTAAGTTCTCTGTAACCAAAAATCATCTCAGGTAATGAACAGTTTTACTTTACTGATATTGAAAGGTCACAACCCACAATTGTGAGAGCTTTGAAATTCAAGTTATAAATAAAAGTCAAAAACCACATAGAAACATTGTTTATTGACTTTTGCTCTTGCTTAGTCACTGGTCCTAAGCTAGACTTTTTTTTTTCTTTTTTAAGGGGGGTTAAGTGTTTTATTTTCTTTGTGATTCTTTTTTTTTGTTATTTTTATTTCTGGATTATTTATTTTTTAAAAGAAAACAAGATCTCTCTTTTCATTATACATATCAATCCAAATTCCTACTCCCTCCTCTCCTCCATTCCCTCCATATACCTCCCACCCCACCCCTATCCAATCCTCAGAGAGGGTGAGGTCAGAGGCTCTCTCTACTATATCTAGGCTGAGCAAGGTATCCAAAGAGAATAGGTTTTCAAAAAAAAAAAAAAAAAAAACAGGACACGCAGTGGGGATAAATCCTGGTGTCAGTGGCCCCTCACTCTGTCCCAGTCATGCAACTATCAACCACATTCAGAGGGACTAGTTTGGTTCTATGCTTGTTCCTTCCCAGTTCAGCTGGAGTTGGAGAGCTCCCATTAGCTCAGGTAGACAGTTTCTGTGGGTGAACCCATCATGGTCTTAACCTCTTTGATCATATTCTCACTCCTCCCACTCTTCAGCTTGACTTTGGCAGCTCAATTCAGTGCCCCAATGTGCATCTCTGCCTCAGTTTCCATCAGTTTCTGGATGAAGGTTCTCTTTTCTTATCCTTCTCAGGCCCACTAGCTGAATGTAAATGGAGACTCTGTTTTCATTTCTCAACTGCCAAGACCCAATGAGTCACATAGAAATTATATTAATTACATTACTCTATGACCAATGGCTCAGGCATATTCCTCATTAGCCCTTACATCTTACATAAACCCATTTCTATTAATGTATGTATTATCACAAGGCTGTGACTTACTGGTCTCTTCTCCTTCAGTGGCTACATGGTATCTCTTTGACTTCACCAATTTTCTCTATTACTGTTCAGATTTCCCAACTGACCTTAATTGGCTAAGCCATTGGCAAAAACAGCTTTATTCATCTACCAATGAAACAAGATACATACAGATGGACATACACATCATCTCCCCTTTTCTGTCTAACTTAAAATGAAAGTTTTAATTTTAACATAGAAAATATTACATATACAAAACAGTTATTAAACAACAATTATAGTTACAATATTTAGTCAACTTACATTTTGCAAACTAAGGTAAATAATCTATCATCTTTCCTATCTTCATGAGTCTAAACTTTTATATTAAATATATATATTATCATAACTAAGGAAGACTATAATTATAACTATTTAGTTCTCAACTCCATCAAAGAACTCATAACGATATATCATTAGCCTGGAATGTCTGTGGAACCAAAAGCAGAACCTGTTTCCCAAAGTAAAATACCCTTAGAGTCAAATTTTGAAGTCAAGATACCTTTAAAATTTATGTTGGGCTAGCATAGCAGCTCCCAGAATCAAATGTCTCTCTGCAGTCAAAAATTCAAAGAAAACAAAATAATATACATAACTCAGACTCTTTGTATATTTTCCATGTATTTAATGCCCCTTGATTGATTTATTCAATTTTTTCCTTTAAGAAGCCCAGTGTAACATCCTTACATTATTTTTTTAATCTATGACTCTGTCTGTAACTGTCCTCTGTTCCAAGCCCATGCAAATTTATCTAATAGACTGTGACCCATTCAGAGGCCTTTTTTCTGAATCTGTCTTTACTATTTATCTGAAATCCTTTTCTGATCAGGACACTTTTCTGGCAGCCTAGACATGAATAATTACATACAGAATATATAACTAAAACAGTGTTTGGCCAATGCCTCAGGTATATTCCTAGTTAGCTCTTACATGATAAATTCATCTATTTCTATTCCTGTCTGTATCACCATGAGGCTGTGGCCTGCAGGTTATATTCTGGCAGCATCTAAATGGCATTTCTTTGACTCTATCTTTGTTCAGACTTCCTACCTGGCTTCACCCTCCTAAGTCATTGGCCAAGACATCTTTATTCATCAGCCAATAAAAGCACCACATATACAGATGGAAAGCACATATCAACTATGGTATGGCTTCTGGTCTCCCTCACAGTTCCTCAAAGAGCCAGAGGAGAAACTTGTAAAGAATCTGCAAGCTACATCCAACTGGTATACCTTCCCAGGGTCCCACAATAGCTAAGAGTGCCCAGCTGGGACCCACAACTGGAGAAGTTCATTCTACTCAGTTAGCAGAATATAAAGAACAGACAAAGGAAGCCTTCCCAGCTCTGCCTTTTCATCCTAGGTGCATAAAGGACCCTAACCTGGGAAATATGAATTTTAGTAAAAATACTTCTAGGATTCCTAGCTAACCTCCTGTTCCTCTTCAAAGGCACACAGTCCTTCATATACAAATTCCAATAAACATTGAATGTCCAGTCCAGCAAATCCTTTGTTTCATACCTGGGAAGTTCTGTAGTCAAAAACAGGTCACATACAAACAGTAACTGTTGTTACTGTGTAACTGTTGTTACAGAAAAAGAGACCATGAATTAGAAAACAGGGAGGGGTTAAGATCTTGTGGGCAGGAAAGAGACTGTGGGCATGGTGGAGTCATAATCTCAAATAATTTTTCCAAAAAATTGAAACGCAATCTATGGCAATGTGTTCCAGAGACTAGGAATTTGTATGAGAGCAAACCAAGGATTACTCAAATCCTTTTTCTGTCCCCATACATGTTAAACTATGATGTTAACAGTCCTGTCTGGCAAGTCCAAATCATTTGATCCAGATTTTCTATATTGGTTGAACTAGTATAACTTTAGGAATTTGATTTCATGATAAATCAGTCCTGTATCCAGATTGATTTCGTAATAAAATCAGTCCTTTATCCAGATTATTGAATGTGCTGTTCTATGGACCCCAAGAAATGGTCAGTCAGGACATTTATGATATATCAAATGTTAATTATATGACTCTGCATTTCTAATCTCAACTAATACTGAGGCCTCTTTTCTCTCCCTCTTTTCTGCCCTTCCCTTTCTACATACTCACTACTTCAGCATCAAAGGTGGTCAATGAACTCAATTCTTACGCAGGTCCCAATTCATTTGTCCAAAATGAATTGTCCAAATTCATATCCAATTCTATGTCCAAAAAACAGACATAGAGAATAATGAACATTCAGTAACTAGTCAAATTTTTCATTATCACTGGGCTGTTATGGCCCAATATTGAAGGATTTGCAGGACTGTCTTCCCAGTGCTTGGCAGCAGAGGTGGGATTGGGTGATCAAAGTAATTCTCAACTACTTAGCATGAGGCAAGCTTAAGCCACAGAAGACATTACTCTACAAAGAAATCAACAATCAACATCACTTAAGAGAAATGTAATGAAACTATTAATTCTATTAAATTCTATTAAACCTAGAAACACTGGAGAGAAGAAAAAATAGAAAGAGTGCACTAATTCACTTTAAAAATGTTAAAAGTGGCACAAATAAGATGAAATTTTAAAATAATAAAAATAATGTATTTCAAGATTAAAAAACACAACTATGTTCATTTGAAAAGGAGTAGGACCTTCTCTAGTAGAGGGAATGTTATCAATAAGAGAGAGACTAATTTCGCCCATATGCACTTGTTGGCTGTTGAGATTTGTAACTTCACACACAGAGTTAAAATCAATGACCTCTATCTCATATCACCCAGCTGACATAACTGAGTCAAGGGTTCAGCATATTGGTTTAGGAAAGTTCCCTAAATGAAAATTCAAAATTCATTGGGGCGAGTTGACCTTCCCAAATAGTATACCAACCAATTTCATCTGTCTTCATCAATGAGACATCAATTGACAGATGCTGGAAATGGATGAATAATGAATAATGAAATCGCTCCCCATCTACAGTCAGGTCCTCTTTCATGATGGTGACTCCAGCAGCTGATTGCCTGCCCTGTTCCCTCTGCAGTGGACACACAAAACTGTTGCTTCTATTCTGGTCTGAAGAGAGAAACCGCTTTCCACATAGAAATCCTTTTCCATTCCCTGCAATGGATATTCTGTTTCATGACTCAAAGGTATAACTTTGAAAGTCTGAGGTGGTACAATAATTTAAGATTTTGAAGGTGTCTTACAGGACAACAAGGTCATTGCCTTGGAGAGGAAGAGACTGGGACCAAAGCCACTTGTGTCAGGATAAGATAGCTAGTCTCAGAAAGAAATTTCTAAAAGCCTGAAAATACCGCTGTTCTAGAACGAATAGGACTTCCCAGGGAGAAATCACTTAACTATGTTCAAGGCATTGGCAGCTCCTTTATACCACTAATTCTACTCTTCTACATTGCAGCTTGGAACTGCAGTGCTACCCAAAGGTGAGCTGCCTTGATATCGTCCACATATTTAAATATAAATGGAGATTGTATGTAAAGGTTAAATGCAAAGTGCTCAATATAGAGAAGATGCTGGAGTTACTAGGCCTCTGAGTGTGGCAAATTTTGTTTCCATGAATGCATCAAGCCTGTTGAAGTTCAGAAGAAAGATGTTTGTAAGCACAGTTCCCTGCTCCCAATCTTCTAAGCAGAATAAGCCCACACAGCAAAGTTATTCAGAGTTCTGTCCCTAGGTCTATGAATTAACAAGGGTCGAATGGGACTTCACAACACAGGGAATCTGGCGGCAGGTTCCCACACAGATCTTGGGAGGACGCACCTTACTGTCTTCTGCACCTCACCCTCTGCTCCTCCCCATCTGGAGACAGCATTCCCTCGCTCACCATGTTGTGGTTCCCCAGCTCGCCAAAGCTCTCAGTTCATCATCTCCCTGCAGCAGCAACTTCACCGCAGCACACGAAACCACTGCCGCCAGCGCCTCTGTGAAGCAGAGTCTGAAGGCGGTGCCCGGAAGAGTCCTGCAACGCTTCTGACTGGCAGGTCATCTGGAAGACCTGATTGGCTAGTGAGGCCTGAGTGACAAGAACACCTCCCTTGGGGCTATAGTGTGCTTAAAGACACAGCACAGTGGTTTCAGGCCATTCCAGTCAAAGATCTTTTCTAGATCGGCCAAGATATGCATTTCAATTGCACTTGCCGCTGGCGCCAATAGCAGACACTGTCATCTTCTTGCACTCCATAGGAACTTTCCGTTTTTCCTCTAGGACACACTGTGGCTAGCTAACTTCTACAGTGCACTGTGCTAGGTGGGTGCAGGGATTTCCTGTCCCACACGAGGAAGGATGCCCAGAATATTAACAGTTAAAGAGAGTTTTAAGGTCCCCAAACGAGATATTTGTTCTGTGGCTTGTTTCATGCTTAGGTTGGATAAATTGAAGATACTTTTTATATGGTTTTCACAGGGATTTCACACAACAGAAAAGAAAAAAGCAGGAACCAGATCTTAAACAAAATGACAGGTTTTTCCACCATCAGAAAGCTGGATGATGGCTCCATTGTTTTGGGAGTTTTATTCCTGTAATTCAAAGCAAGCTCCAGGCAAACGAATAATAAGCAAAGGAGTACTGTTCATGGAAATGTGACTATGTAGAGAATAATGGGGCTAGAAAGAATGTCTTCATGAGCACTATTGTCAGCCAGCATTTCTCCCTCCATACTCAGGTGAATAAAATATACAACTACAGTATTCAAGATTCTCTACATGGCCAGGCAGTGGTGGTGCACGCCTTAAATCCCAGCACTCGGGAGGCAGAGGCAGGTGGATCTTTATGAGTTCGAGGCCAGGTTGGTCTGGTCTACAAGAGCTAGTTCCAGGACAGGTTCGAAAGCTACAGAGAAACCCTGTCTTGATTAACCAAAACAAACAAACAAACAAACAAACAAAGAATTAGCTACATGAATAGGACAGGTAGAATGATTCTCACAATGTACATATTAACTGGGCTTATTAGAATGTCTCACAAGCTGTGTTTCTTGTTGTCATGGTTCAGGTCATCTAAAAATAGTTGCCTACCAATCAGACTTGAAGAATGCAGGCAATTGGTTCTCTGTCTTTTGTGAAGACACAATATCAAGTGAAGAATCCAGTAGTTGTTCAGCCCACGATGTGCAATGTCTCAGCTGGTTTTAAGTATACGCCAAAATTACAATGAAGTAGGCTCTAATGCTAGTAAGGAAATGAGTTTGGTAGCCAGAGCTAGAGCAAGGAGGCAAAAGAAACTTTTCTTCTTCAAAATACTTTATATGTGACTGCTGCTGCCAGAACGGGAGATACTGGCTAATGTTGTGCCATAGTCTTTGTTTGAATCAGATTTTTTTTTTTTTGAGATTTCAAGACAGATTTTTTTCTGCGTAGTTTTGAATCTTACTCTGTAGGCCAGACTGGTCTCAAACTCAGAAAATCCCACTGCCTCTGCCTCTTAAATGATTGTGTTAAAAGTGTGCACTGACACCAAGCAGTTAAAGGTGGGTCCTTTCGTCTAAAATTATACAGATTAATGGAGGAGTTTCCCACTTCAAAACCTTTAAGTAAAATCTCTCTCAGATATAATCATTTCTTTATATATTTGTTAATCCCAGAGGTAATCAGTTTGACTAGCCATCTCAACAGCCGACAGAGAAGAAATGAGAAGAAAAATCTTGCCTGCAGGAGACACAAAATGCATGGGAGTTATTTTCAAAACAGTATTTTTCCTCAACAAATGAAGCATGGGGATTTTACTTAGGAAGTCTGAACACAAAAGATAGAGAACACAAAACCAGAAAACTTCAAGGAAAAGTCACCTAACAGCCCTCTATACAGTGCTGCTGGATGAACAGTTATGATGATCTCTATTACTCTCAGAGAAAAGCTGCTTTTGCTCTGAGCAGGGTGACTAGGCAGAAGGCCACAGCTGCTTCCATGCAAGACAAGAAGGAGTCCATTTTAACTAGCCATGGCTTGCTGTCTGTCTCAAGGTTGTGGCATCACTGTAGAGAATTTCATTCTTTCTTCTTTTCTAACAATTGCCCTATAGCTAACCACCAAGTGAGGCAGAGGGAGCACAGGAACAAATAGGATGTTTTAGCTGGTTGGCCAGAAACTATCCTCAAGATGAACCTCTGGAGCAGAGGTAGACCCATGGGCCCTACATGGTTTATGAAATTTATTTTATATATCACTGTAGCACAAATTCTGATTGTTCTAAATTATAAAAAGACAGAGTCAGATATTGAGGTAAATGCTAAAAGATTAGAGAAATAAAGGAGTCAAACACTACAAAGATCTTTTATGTCTACTGAATCCTCAGATCAAAGTGAGCAAGATCCTGTGTCCATGAATACCCGGACTGAATGCCATGTGCTCCTGTCCCCTCAGACAATATATTCCTCTCTCTTCCAAGCCAATTTGAGGACTATAGGTGTTAATTCTTCTTTAAAGTTCTAATAGAATTCTTCTCCGAAACCATCCACCATGGGAATTTTTGGGGGTGAGGAGTCAGGCTTTTGAGGTCTGCTTCTATCTTCTTGCAGATTATAGGTCTATTTAAATTGTTCACATGGTCTTGATTTAATTTTGATATGTGGTACCCATCCAGAAAATTGTCCATTTACTTTACATCTTCCAATTTTGTGGAGTATAGTTTGGTTTTTTTTTTTTTTGTTGTTTTTTTTTTTTGTAGTATGACCTAATGTTTCTCTGGATTTTCTCAGTGTCTGTTGTTATGTCTGCTTTTTGTTTATGCCTTTGTTAATTTGGATGTTCTCTCTCTGCCTTTTCATTAATTTGGATAACGGTGTATCTATCTTCTTGATTTTTTCAAAGAATTAGCTCTTTGTTACATTGATTTTATGTATTGTTTTCCTTCTTTCTATTTTATTGATTTCAGCCCTAAATTTGATTATTTTCTGTCATTTACTTCTCCTGGGTGAGTCTGCTTCTTTTGTTCTGGATCTTTCAGGTGTGCTGTTAACTCACTAGTGTGAGATTTCCCCATTTTCTTTGTGTAGGCACTTAGTGCAATGAACTTTCTTCACAGCACTGCTTTAATAGTGTCCCATATGTTTGGGTATGTTGTGCCTACATTTTCATTGAATTCTAGAAAGTATTTAATTTTTTTTCTTTATTTCTTCCTTGAGGCAGTTGTGATTCAAGTGGGCACTGTTCACTTTCCAAGAGTTCGTAGACTTTCTGCGATTAGTATTGTTGTCAAATTCTAACGTTAAAACGTGGTCATCTGGAGATCAGCGCCGGGCATGCTGGGAACTGTAGTTTCCGCCTGCCGCCCCACGTCAGGGTTGGTAGTAAAAACTGCTATGCCAGGCTCCATTTCTAACACCTGACTAGTGGCAGTGGGGAGGCCCTAAGGTGGGGTGCGGGCAGGGTCACCGCGACAGGCATCAGGCCAGCACCCCGGCCTCAACCGGCAAGCGCCGCTCCTCAGCGCCATCCCCCGCCCCCCGCCACCTCGCGCTCCTCCCCCTCAGTCCCCTCCCTCTCGTCTAGCCGCCGCCCCCGTAACCGCCGCCGGAGCTCTAGCAGCCACGGCCGAGAACCCGGCTTGGAGAACCACCACATCAAGAGTTTCAAGAGCAAAAGCAGCGATGTGGAGACAGTGCGAAGACACAGAAATGAAGGGACAGTTGAACTCCGGAAGAACAAAAGAGATGAACACTTACTGGAAAAGAGAAATGTGCTCCCCAGGAAGAAAGCTTGGAAGATTCAGGTGTCGATGCTGATTTTAAAGCACAAAACGTAACACTAGAAGCTATATTGCAGAATGCTACAAGTGATAACCCTGTAGTCCAGTTGCGTGCTGTCCAGGCAGCAAGGAAACTATTATCCAATGACAGAAATCCACCAATTGATGAGCTAATAAAATCTGGAATTTTACCAATTCTAGTCAAATGTCTAGAAAGGGTTGATAATCCTTCATCACAGTTTGAAGCGGCTTGGGCACTAACTAATATAGCATCAGGAACCTCTGCACAGACTCAAGCTGCTGTACAGTCTAATGCAGTACCCCTTTTTCTGAGACTCCTCCGTTCCCCACATCAGAATGTCTGTGAACAAGCAGTGTGGGCTTTGGGAAACATTATAAGTGATGGTCCTCAATGTAGAGATTATGTCTTATCACTGGGAATTGTCAAACCTTTTCTGGCCTTCATCAGTCCCTCCATTCCCATCACCTTCCTTTGGAACATCACATGGGTCATTGTCAATCTCTGCAGGAATAAGGACCCCCCCCCCCCACACACACACACACACACTGCCAATGGAGACAGTTCAAGAGATTTTGCCAGCTTTATGTGTTCTCATATATCACACGGACATAAATATTATTGTAGACACTGTTTGGGATCTGTCACACTTGACAGATGGAGGAAATGAACAGATACAGATGGTTATTGATGCCCCCTCTGAGCCACCAGGAAGTGAAAGTTCAAACAGCAGCAGTCAGCGCAGTTGGGAACATAGTGACCGGCATTGAAGAGCAGACCCTCGTGGTTCTTAACTGCCACATCCTGCCATGTTTGGGTGGTTCCCAAACCTCTTATCACACCCGAAAAAGAAAATAAATAGGGAAGCAGTGTCGTTCCTTTCCGATATAACATCAGCAGCAAATTCAAGCTGTAATAGATTCTGGGTTAATCCCTATAGTCATTCACCAGCTTGCTAAGGGGGACTTCAGAACACAAAAGGAAGCTGCTTGGGCAATTATCAACTTAACAATGAGTGGCAGAAGAGATCAAGTGGAGTGCCTTGCACAACCGAATGTAATACCACCATTCTGTAACTCACTGTCAGTTAAAGACTCTCGGGTGGTTCAGGTGGTTCTGGATGGTCTTCAGGACATCCCGATAATGGCTGGTGATGAAGCAAGCACAAAAGTCGAAATAATAGAAGAATGTGGAGGTTTGGAGAACATTGAAGTTTTGCAGCCACATGAAAATGAAT